AAGGGCCAGATTACTCCAGAAAGTTAATATTCTAAAGCTAAGAACGGTTGTTTTACTGCTATAAAGAACCTTGATTAACAATTTTGAGAAAAGAAAGATCTAATCGGAGACTTTCGCTACTTGGAAGTATTGAAAGGATTCCCGAATTGTTCGAGAAAAAATTTTGAACAAAGAACCGTGAAGTTTAGCTCTTTTTACAGCGCTGGAAAAGACCGAATATTGGGGAATGATAAGGGAGTGGGTGTACCTGTTTTTACAAACCGTAAAATAAAAACTACCAAAAAGCGAAACACGCCAGAGTGACCCTGAGTGAAAGGGCAACATTGTATATTAGGCCGGTCGGCAAGGCTTACATTAGATTTTTTCCCCGTCGCTGCGTACGGTCTTAGTAGAAATCCTAAAGATCAGACCGAAACAATTCTCACTAAACATGGATAAAACCAATTATACTCCAGTCTTACTTGAGAGGCATTTCTCGTCCGGTAACACTGCAGTTCCTGTAATTTGGGCAATCAGCTTGTAATCACAATCAAGAATGTCACGTGCATCTACCTTTTGGCTAGCATGCACTGAGTATAGATTAGTCCCTTATCTCCCTTCATGTGAACAACACTAGGTTTAACATACATAACGTCACAAAGTTCACTACACTCAGTACCTTTCATGGACATTACTCTTTTCTACGACGGGAATAATCCAGGTAAGCCCTTCTGTACTGTCCTTTTAAGTTTTGCTCCTGCATACTTAGGCTACGATCGGTACGTGCACAATCACATCTGTGTTCTTTCCTGCAATGATCCTCTACTTCTCATATGCGGGTAGAATTAAATAGATGGTCCTTTGCTGTAGAAAATTTATAATCATGTTTGGTTCGAGCGACCTGTTCATCGAACAATTGCTTGCACTTGCTGAGTGTCGGCTCCTTAAGTTTAGCTTCAGGGCATGGCAGAAATACTGCATCCTTTCCTTACTAAGTTTAGACAGATTCTCCTAGGGAATATTGATCAATATTTCTTCGAAAAAGATTGCTTTCGTTCGAGTTTTTACTCCGACTATCCGCCATTTTGAAACTGGACTTTTTAAAAAGTCCGGGAAAATCCGGTAGTGCCAGGCCCCCGCGCGGTATGAAATTGGGCAATTACCCCATACATATGGAGCCTTTTACACATGACGTCAGGTCCGCCAAGTGGATGTCGCCTAAAACAACAAAACGACGGTCATATTGGGTCCCAAACCCGTCCCATGGGAGTTGAAACCTGTTCTCATGTATACGCTTTCTTTTGTGCCAATAACTTTGCATAGCTGCCGACTATGAGAGGGAAAATTTGGTTATTACGTCAGCTTACGGGCCCGTCCGCCCGTACAACTCTTGGGGTAGGGTTAAAAAACTCAGTAGGGTAGGGAAGGGAATCCCAGACATGTACATTGAGTTTCGTTTTGGCGCAAAAATAACCATTTTTAGGGCAACCAACGGGGTTGCTTAAGCAAAAGTCTAGATTGCAGTTCCTTGTGTTCGACTTGCGAACATAAGAAACTTGTCACGCTTTTGATCACACTTCAGGAACAACCTAGTCTCCAAAATTTTGACAGGTGAATTGTGAACTGAATTGTTTATTTGGTTTTTCGTCTAGGAAAGTGTCGCAAAGAGATTCATCGGTGCCTGCGTTTGTGATAATTCATGCAAGCTGTTAAGGCGGACTACAGGGGAAATCTTTCAACTTTTCAAATTTTTAACTCTTAATTCGTGTTCTTTAACAATGCCGTCTCAAAATGAAATACAGTTGCTATCGACATAAGTCTATTATTGGAAGCTTATAATTGTTTGTTTATTTGTTTTTTGGGTTGAGGAAGGCTTCGCCACGGGATTCCACGAACGTGAAAGTTGAACATGCAGGCTTTTACAGTTTTGATCGTAAGTCATAATTTTGCAAGGTGTTGTGCAACTTTTTTTTCTTTCGTGGACTGTGTCAGACTAACGCGTGAGTGAAATTCTCTGAAAATGGTTTAGGCATGGCGAGTGATTTGCGCCTCTGTTAACACGTTATAAAACATTAAAAATTTCATGGGCTATTAGTTTCTCAATGGGGTGTGGTGGGGGAAGGGGTGCATTGATGCAGGAGTATGGGTAAGAATTCTTTTATAAATTTCTGGGTTTGTTTGCAAAGGTTCAGAAGCTTATTAAAAGTATATAAATGGACGCTTCGCTTTTAGCCTTAGATGATCAAAGTACCACAGTCACAGACTGCCTACGATGCAGCAAATTGATAAAAAAATCGTTATTTTTGTTCAACGCTTGGTAACTATATATTCCTTTAGGCTTTAACGTGTGCTTTCATTTGTGCCTTAAATATTCCATATCAAACAAGTCGGGGGATGGTATTTTTTATTTTTGTTGTATTTTGTTCTAGTGAATCGAGAAGTAAAACAGACGAATTCAAAATTGTACGTAGCATGTAATTTACAACAGTTTTAAAATGGCCTAAACTAAAAGGGTCGGTTATTTCAACGAAGTTTAATTTAGGCCGCGGTTTAAGAAATCATTGGACCTCCAGATCTTCTTCTAAAGGGGTTAATTTAAGAAAGTAAGTGCTTTTCCAGACTACGCTATATGCTTTATTTAAATTGTTCGTGAAAATGGTGTTAAAAAAAAGCGTTGGGCAAACTGAAAGTGGCTTAGAACGTGGTTTTGTTATTACCACGCGAGCCACATGAGCAAGTTAAGGGCCGTATTCTTGTCATGATCAAGGGGGATTATTACACGGACACAGTTATTTACCAGGAATTTAAGCCTAGCAGAGCAACTCAACACAACTTCATTCAGCATGCCGGACATGCAAGCATGGCATGGCAACCCACGCATGTGCCACATTACTACTGTTGAACCTTCATTAAGCGGCCACCCTCTTAAGCGGCCAGTAATGAAACCCGCGAAATAATTGTATAAAATAATGAAACTTAACCCTCTATCAAGCGGCCACTTCTCAGCCAGCGGCCGCGGCCATCTTTTGGCGTCCCAACGGGAGCCTCTCATTGTTGTCACCTCTATTAAACGGCCATCAAGCGTTATGAAGAAAAATACAGTCCAAGATAGAAAGTGACGACCGACTGTGGACAAGTAATGATACTCCCGTCGTTTTTTTTAATGAAGAGACGTTTCTGCTAAAGATTGTGCTCAAATTATACCTAACCTCAGTGTAATCTTATGTTTAAACCTACCTTGCTCAACCTCTACCGACTCGCTTGTAAAATACGTATTGTTATTGGTAGTAACGTTTGTGTATCTGCCAAATTTGTCTTTCCTCATAAACTGAATTCTCTTGGGCGTTTTTAATCCTGTCGAATCGAAAGCTATGCAAGTAACCTGGGCAGATGTAAACTCTAAAGCAGAAATATTCTCAGGATATGGTTCAACTATCCTAAAATTGTCCACAACTGAAAGAGAAAAAAAGATAATGTCACGTCCGGCCTACCGAGCAAACAATTTCCTAGTGATGTGATACACAGACGGCTAATATTCCGCGAAGTTTTGCTTAAAGTAGTAGCAGCTAGTAGTTGGCTAGCTACCAGCTTTTAAAAGTACCTCATATTGCTAGTAATTGTTTAGAGAGATACTCCTACCCAAACGTTTTTCCAGTAGCGGTTCGGCAATTGGGGTGACATAAATGAAAAGTGTTGAGATGCGTCATCAGCTTAAGCGATGTTTGGTTCGGGAGAGACTAGGTCGAGAGGGCTCTTCTCAACCTGGTTGCAAAACATGGTGGTGGCGAGGTTCGAAATTTGGTCGGTGAAATGATCGTTGTTAGGCCCCGGCTAAACGATCAAACATTTTCGTCCAACTTGTATTTGTCATGCACTTCATGAGGTGGCTTAAACGATCAAACATTGTTTTGTAACGCAGAATTTGGGATGTGCAAAATGTTTGAAAACCATAATGATTTAAATGCAATGTTGAGAGAGATTGCTTAACGGTAGAACACTATTCCAACACGACATCAGGGCTTCTTCTTTGAGACGATATATGCAGATCTTAACTATTGCTTTAATTAGTATACTAGGTTTGTCCAACCAAAAAATGCCGCTTGCAAATCAACCCACCCAATACCTTTTAACTCGAAATCTAAACCTGTTCTACGCTCTTACCTGGAGAGACACTGCTTGCAGTAGCCTGTTGGGAATTCAGGACCCTTGATGAGTTGATATTTTGAGAATTCGTCACGACCGTGGTTGATACGTTTTGATTTGTCAAGACTGGAGTTGACGATATGTTTTGAATTTTCACAACTGGAGTTGATACGTTTTGAGTCATCACTGTTACCGGTTTACTGAGTGGTGTTGTCGAAGTGATCCTGATTGTCTCTGTGTGACTGATAGTGGGCGACACAAAAACATACTTTTCACTTGCCAACTGAGCTGAGTGGGTGAAAAGACTTTTCATTGCGATTTCAGCAGTAATGTAAGCAAATGAAGATGCGAAGGTTTCATATGCCGGCGAGGAAGAGCTCGTGGGACCTAGAAATAATGTCATCAACAAATTAAAAATAATTTGGAAATTAAAGGTAAGAGCGCTCTTTAGGAAAATGAACCCCATTCAGCCAGAGACATTTGAATACAATTGGGTGGGTCCTGAGACTGCTGCATGAGCGGCACACGAAAGGAGACACGAGGCGAGGGGCTCACCGCTCGCTTGCACCTTCTCTAGAATTTGAAGAAGAATTTCATTCTCTCTTCCATTGTCCAAAACACTCAATCCCAAGGGAGAAATTCTACAATCAAATCCAACAAAATTTTGTCGACTTAAATCAGCTATCTTACACAGAATTAATAATCAAATTGATGAATACACAGAATTTTTCCGTAAATTCACATTTGTTGAAATTTGTCTCATCATGTAATGATTCACGCACTAATTTGTTATCAAATCATGCTGATGACACTTGATTAACTGTAGTAATCATTGCATTGCATTATCATTGTTGTAAATTGTAACTTTATGTTAAAGCTTTTGCAATACTGTAACTACATAATTATAGTCATGCAAATAAAGCTTATGTTGTTGTTGTTGTTGTTGTTCTAGCGCCTCGCCAGAAAATGGAGAGTTTGCTCACAAGCTCTCACTGCAGTGATATCCCCAGCAAAGTTCTCAAACACTTAGTCTGTGATACCGATTTCGACAGGTGGGTGGAGAGAGAGAGATAAAGGTTGCGTTCCCTTTAGCCAAACCTTTTTTCGGATTTAGACAAATCCAGATTGTTTGGATTTTCGTGGTAGCCGAAACAAAAATCTTAAATAAGATTGATCCACACAGTGGCGGCCTGCTGCTCCGATCATCTTCTCAATTTCAGCACAACGTTTTTTTTTTTCCTTCTTTCCGCTAAATTATGAATAAGTGTCTTCTCGTGGAGAAATGGAAAGAAAAGTAACTCTTTAATTAGTGGTAGTTCATACAGGGACTCGTCAACATAAAATTATCTGGAATTTGATTCAAGAAAATTCAGAAGATCATTACGATCTCTCAGTGCTGAGAAGCGCGCTCTAAACACACACACACATTGCACACTATCGTTTTACAGTGAGAAAATCCAAGCGTTTTCGCTTCCTTGCGGATTTAGAGTTAAAGTGGAACGTAAGTTTAATATACTACAATCCTTTAGCGGCATAGAACAGAGGAGGAGTATAAATAACTTTTGCCTGAAGTAACCTTGACCCGCTGTGTTAATTTATTGATGAACGAGCACGTTCTCTGCGATCGAAAAGCAGTTTCGTTGAATAGAAAAAAAATCTGAAACCAGATTGAGATACCAATCTGAACGATCCAAGTGCGAAGGTGGATCGTTCAGATTGCAATCTGAATTAGTCCTTAATGACAAGAAAAATCGAATTTCGGATCGCAAAATCCGGATTTAGATTGGTCAAAAGGAACGCAACTAAAGTAGAGCATTTTCTTTTTCCTAAGAAAATAATCCAATGTAAGGATTGAAACCGGCTTAAATCGATCTAAAGTCCGTCGTGTTAACCATTTGGCCACTACGCCTTTAACTTAAACAGAACTAATAAAACCTAAAGGTAAGTTAGTGCAGGCGAGATCGATCAAAAGTAAAAACTGTCTTGCTTCTAAGCTGAGACGGACATATATTTCTTATACCAAAAAAATTGGGGGAAATGTTTTCATAAAATTACTTGCTAGTTTAATACTTCTATTACTCACTCAGTGTTGATTTCATAAAATCCATGACTTGTTTGATTTCCTGTTTATCGAGCGACACGTTAAATATCCAAATTTGTGAAAGTTTTCCCTTGAAAAGATAACCCAACCATAAATCGTACTCCGTTTGAAGCTCTAAACTTCCAAGGCCAGTTTTGTTTCCCACTTGAATGCCATTAACATAAAGTATTGCATTTCCTGTTCTGTTGTCAAATGAGCCTGCGATATGGCTCCACTGACTGGACTGCAGTTTCATATTACTCGGCAAAGAGAACTTGTTGGATTGGTCACGTGAATACAGGTGAAAGACTGGGCGAGAGTTTTCAATCGAGATGCTTACGCCATAGTTGGAATCCTGCCAGTAAGAAACTATTTCACCTCCTGTCCCCTCCGAATACACCCAGGCGAGAAGAGTAATCGAATACCTACAGAAATGTTAAAAATTCACAGTTCCAAGTTAATAAGCACGCGTCCAGTGGAGGCGTTTATAAGTGATAAACAAGTCGGCAATTAGTTTCCCACGATGCAAAATTTATATTGAAAAATCCATGGAAACCAGATAGATGAACCCAGAAATAGACTTACACTACATTTAAAAATTCATGCAACATCGAATAATCCTTTTTTGCCGAGGAATCTCATTAACTTAAACTAACTAGCCAACTAATTTGTAGCTATTTCCTAGCAAAAATCGCAACTTTTTACTTGCCCCACTACTGTACCCACTCTGCTCCTTCACAAATTAGTTGTTTACATTCCCCGACACCATATTTATGTTGTTTCCCCCTTCTCCTCCCTCTCTTTTTTGTTGTAGGTTTAATATGGGGCTGATGTAAGGTCGATATGGGGTTGTGATGCTCATTTCCTCGCTACGTTGGTGAAGTTATGAATGTGAGAAAAATATGTATTTATAAATCAAATATAATAAATGTTATGTTTAGTGTTGAGGTCGCAGTGGACCCTCAGATAATGAAATCACCTGGTATCTAGTGCATCGGATGAAGGTAAGCGGATATAACTCGGTGATGATCGAGTCCCGGAGAATGAATATGAACCGCCATTTTCACCATAAACCCCAGTGGAGGGATGTGTGTTAGCAAGTTGTCCAGGTGGATTTTCAGATAAGCTGGAATCATTGGCTGCGGTAGATGACGTCAGAGGATAGTAGCCTACTGCTAGATATAGTGGCGATCCTGTAACCATAAGAATGTTATCCCAGTGTTATTATTCCAGGGATTGCCTCGATTATAAATTAAATGGCAGATAGAATGTTTTTAAATTATCATGTTTTGAACTGCGGATAAAAAGGGAAAGTGAAAATGATATTCGCGGTAGAATGAACAACGTAAGCGGTTGGAAAAGAACCTGAAAAAAATTCAGTCTTGACCGAGAATCGAACCATGGCCTTTGCGATGACTGGACGCAACGTTGTCCTCTGAGAAAGAAACAGTTGCGGGACACATTTTTGGTCCGCAGTCCCCTTTTTGTCCTTCTCGTTTCAGTTTCTAAAGTAGCGAATAAAAGACGTTGCTCCAATATTACCAATATTTAGGAACTGGGCAGTAAATAAGAGTATACCGATAAATTTAAAACAAAATTAAATTACCCGGACGTTCGTTTGATATGCAAAGTTCTTCTCTCTTGGCAATGTTTGAATCTTTTCATTTGAGCATGAAGTCAGAGGAATTTCGCCAAACCGTGAGCGGTTCAAGAGTAGTAGAAGTTGAGTTTTTAGTCGTAACGATCACCTTGGATTACATTACTTGGGATTCATACCACTTCGGCTTAGTTCTGCTTAAGTCACGAGGCAATATATATAATTGCTGCGCGTAATACAACTTGAAAGTGTTAGCTGTTTGTCATTTGACAAAATGAAGGTTTGTGGTGTAAACACCCGGTTACAAGACTTATTTATCGTCTCCTCAGAATATCTCTACGTTTTTTGTTAGCTTTTGTTACAGTACGAAAGGCGCGATGCATCTAGATGTTTGTATAGAAGTATGGTCAGTGATCTACAAACAAAATTCTCAATTAAAAGTGACGAAGGTCTGGTCTCTTAAAAGTTTCGTTAAATGCGCCCCAACCTTAGAGAGAATGGTCCAGATAGTTAGAGAGAATGGCCTTGCAAACATATAGGTGTATTTTTAATAAAGATTGCAGTATACACAAGTTTTGAACAGTCATTAAATATTGAGGTTGCGTATATAAATTCATACATACATAGCAACAACTACAACAACATCAGTAACATCTACAACAACACCTTCACTTTTACACTCTGATTTTAATTATTGATTAACGAATAAAATTAAAATTGCCTTTTGCAATATTTAAGCCAGTTGTATGCTGTTATTCACTTACCATGGCAGTTGTAAACGATTCCAAATAACAACGTTATTATAACTTTCTGCATCTGCAAGAACGCATATAAAGATCGATTAAAGCATTACTAATTATTGTTAATTTTCGAGGCATTTTCTTAAAATAAGCTCAAGGTTACGTTAATATTCCTGGGGTCGTAGCCTCCCGTCTTTTATAGGATATGAAAGACGGGAGGCTACGACCCCAGGAATATTTAAGTAACCTTGAGCTAATTTTAAGAAAATGCCTCGAAAATTACACTTGATTTATCATCTCTTATATCCTCATCTTTTTTTTGTCCTCTGAAGAGTCAACCTCTGAAAGCTGGCTGGAAAAATGTGCTTAAAATTTGATTTTAGACCTCGAACACCTGAAAACGTATTCGGACGTGTCCTCGTGAGTATTACATGAAATCAATTGTTCCTCCATACCTTTAAACGACTGCTCTGTATAGAATGTTTTTGCCACAGACCAAACAAATACTGAACGAATAAAAACAAGCCATTAAACGAGTGAAGATTTCCGAGGCTAGAAGAGAAATTGTAAAACGTCGAGCCCCTCAGTGGCGGTTAAAAAAATAACATTATTTGTTTGTTAAAAGTAAACGACAAACACAAAACTATTTCAAACGTCCTTTAGTAACTAACCTTTTAGTTAGTCATATACCTGTCTTAATACCTTCTAACACCGTTCCTCTGCGGTTCTTCTACGGTTTTCTTGAAGAGCTATAATAATACGCCTCAACCCTCCAAAATTTAGATTAAGTAATGTAGGTTTAATTGGCGCTAATTTACCATGCAAAGTATTACTGTTTCCTGCATATATGTTATTTTCTCAGCTGTATGTTGCTAAATTTCTGTTCCAACTTTAAACAAGTTGCTTTTCAATTACATCCGTTATTAATAAAACATCGTTCACTTTTTTCCTTTTAAAAAGACACTAGAAAAATAGTTATTTCAATTTATGCCTTGCAAGTTGGTTCTACATATTGAGGCGTTATTTATGAATTTAACCAGTTGTAACTATTAAAACAGGACGCTTATCAATTACTTCGCTTATTTAACATTGGTAATTCCTTCTTTCAAAAGGAAGCCGCTGCAATAATAATTATTCAGTTTATATTTATGCTCTAAAAGAAGATTTTCGATTTTGATGAGTTATTGTTAAGGGATCTAAGGCAAATAAACGCACTCCCTTGCTGACTGTAATAAATCAGAACAAGAAATTCATTACAATTATTATTGTTTATGAGGAAAATTGTATGCCTTTGTTATACCGACCCGTTCACGATATGTTAAAGGTTATGTAAATATGTAACACTAACATAACCTTAAACATAGTAAGATCAGCCGAGCTACTTTTAAGTTAAATTTTAACTTTTACTAGGTTTATTTCTGAACAGAATGCTTATTAATTAACGAATGGTTTTGCACCGTTGCCTGGTGACAGAGACTTTTCTTAAACTCCCAACATTGTTGGGTCAACAATGTTGAGAGTTGTTGCGTCCGTGTTAACAGTGGTGTGCAAAAGTGTGCAACAACTCCCAAAAATATTGGGACCTGCAGTGCATCGTTGGAAGAATGTCGGAATAGCTGTGCAAACGGACCCAACAGTGTTGCGCTACCCTTCGGCGATTACGGAACAACAGAAATTTCGGGAGTTGACTGGTTTCAAACTTTGCGCAACGACTCCCAACAACACGCAATAACATTCAACAGGGTGTGCAAACGGACGCAACATTTAACATCCAACATTGTTGGGAGTTGTTGGCCCGATGAAAAGCTCAATCCATATATTTTCTCCAACATTATTAACCCTCTTAAATGGACACATGGTTAATGAAGACAACGGACATTGCTATATTTTCTAGTGTCCCGAGTCACAAAACTCCCATAACCGTCAACCCCGCTTTACAGACACTGCTAATCTGTGCACAACCTATGACTGAATATTTTACCAGTGAAAACCTAACAAAAACGGTGGATATTCAGTCCTCCTGGCTGAGTCGCAAGCCAAAAGCATCAGTCACACACTCACAGATTCCTTTCATTGTTACACTTACAATTAAGAAATGAAGCAAGATTTATTTTTCGTAAGAATGCCTGCTTTAGTCTTTATACCGATAAAACGCGTGTCCGTGGCGTTTTCTCTGAGAACCTGCTTAATGCAAACATCTGGATAATACGGACACCATGGCATGTCACCGTGGTGTCTGAATTAACCGGGTTGCACTGAAACCTTTGAGAGGCTAGTGTGCGCAGTCGGGGACACTTTTTCAGCTATATAACAATATTTATTACTGAACAGTGGAACCTCGATATAGCGAACGTCCAAGGGACTGACAAATCTGTTCGCTATAAAGAGGTTCCGTTATATCGAGGTTCTTTCCCAGTTTACTATTACTGGGACTAAGAATGTCATTCGTTATACCGAGGACCTCGTTCGTTAAATGGAGGTTTCACTGTATTTTAACCCTTTAAGCCCCAATACCCACATACAAATTCTCCAAACTGGTCTCTATATTATATTTCCTTAAAGAATGAGTTGAGAGAATTTGATAAAAGATCAACGTATTTTCTCTTAGGTGATCATTTAATTTATGCTCATAACTTCATCTCATGACTCTCATGACAATGTGTGGATGTCGTTAGGAGAAAATTGCTGTTGGTCACTATTGGGACTTAAAGAGTTAACACCAGTGAAATACCAGGTGAGCTTTTCCGCGAAAAACATGATAACTTCACATGTGAAAAGATCACCGTTGCTATAATGGCTACATTATAATTTGCGCCTTTTATTTTAAAACCAGGTGGGGCTATAATGCCTGAGTCTCTACATAAAGGAAGAAATAAAAAGCTACCGAGCGCTTTGGTGTGATGCTATTAGATTGTCTTCCCAACGTGCCAATCCGATTTTTCCTGAGGGGAAGGGGAGTCTGTGTACACAGGCTATCGCCGAGGTTGCGAAGATTCTTATTTTATAATCTTCGATTTTCTTTTTATCTGCACAGAATAAAAAGCTAACAGTCAACCGAAATACGCTTTATCCTATATGTATATTTTTTCGTGTTATTTCTTTGTCGTCTTCTTAATAAGCTTTTCTTCTTTTAAAACCCTTATCAGTGAGGTGTCCCACCTCAAGCTCCTTCTGCTGGGGACTCCTTCTAGTTGCAACAAGACCTTTTTCATTCGTGCACAACGTCCTGGGTGGGCAAGCCTCCAAAATAGTTAACTTGTTTTGTACTTGTTTCTAAGGCTCACATTGATGACATTCATATGTAAGTAAATACCGCTTCTTTCGTTTAAAGCAATTAACGGCTTTCGGGGATTTATGGATTCACTAAATAATTCCATACTTAACAGAAGCAAATTGGAATCTATGCCTATCATAATATGAAAGCTGGGACAGAGAATATCTTTTGGGCGCTTTTATTCAATTACAACGAAAATTGAACGAAACTAAACATACAGCCACTTTAAGTCAACAGTCTGAACTGTACTTTGGCTTCGCACATGAGCACAAAACGTAATAGGATAACTTGCATTATTTCCCCTTCTGCATTTTCGTCTAAATTTTCATTCTTTGAGTAAATAAACGTACGCTTCAATGACCACATACAATGTGGAACCGAAATGTCAGTTTTGCAAACAGTTTAAGGGTCTCTCATGGGGGGTTCAGTACAGAATCTGACGCTCCTCCAAAAACTTTTATCTGCGTAATTTTGTATATCAAAGTCTTTCGGTTAAGATAGATATAGACTCTAATTGAAATATCCCCATTATATTGCATGTAGTTTGATAATAATAATGGATTGAGGCCAAACGCAAACAGAAACAAAACCCACCATATCAGAATAAACAAAACTGTGTAATTTGTTTAAAAGGCGTTTTTGACCGACAAAATCTGAAGATGAACGTGATAAAACCAGACCTCTTAATCAGATATGTTTTCCTATTTTAACGTCTTTAACTTCCTTTTTCAGTCATCTTTTTATTCAGGAAGTTTCAGTTATATGCACTGTATTTTACAATTCAAATTCACATTAGATATCGGCTTATTTTTTACTGAATTAATGAGGTCTTTTACTAAAGTTATTTTAAACATATAGAATCCCAAGAAAACCGAGTAATTCCAACTGACTCCGATCAAATTGCAGAGTATTTTAACAATTAGAAATTTTAGACTTGAAACCATTTGCTAATGGAGCTTATGTCACTGTTAAACAAAATACATTATACGAGTGACAAGCCAGTCATCTGATAGACACCCGGTCGGCCTGATGTGGCAGAAGGGTTTATAACGTTTTTACTGATTCCGGATTTTAAGGAGTGCCTACCAAAATTTCGCAGGGGATCTTTTTTCTTTCTGACGAATTGCAGAATTCATTGAAAATAACTTCCATTATTCTTAAAAAAAACTTCCCATCCGGTTGGAGAGGGTAATCGTTTGAAATACTAGTTTTCTGAAATCTTCGCTGTATTTCTTTCACTTAAACTCGATCTTCTTATCTTATCGACATGAGATAAACTCGTTTCCTAACTAAGTAAATAAAAATTTGATGTGACTTGATTGAAAATAAGCTATAGCCGAGCGACGGAAGTTGTTGTATGGGAGACGTCGTCCTTAAAATTTCCAGCCTATTTAATAATTACTTGTTTACTATTCTCTTCATGACATCTACTAGTCACCTTAAAGATATCTTAAAGCATTTTTTTTTCCCAAAATTGCAAAGGAAAATCATAACTTTTAACCTCTAGGTTTTGGATTAGATATGGATTAGAGTCCTTGAGAGAAACAAAGAGGAGTGATCCATTAATTTTTTGGCAAGGTTAAATGAAGTTCCATTTCCTACAGCCTCTTAACTCAGTCTTCAAGTAAAGCGGTCCTGCCTATTTTTGACTTAAGTTTATACTTAACAACAGAACACCTAACTTTTACTGTTTGCTTTTTTTAAAATTAGATCAGATTGAAACATTTACAAAACTAATTTTAAAAAACGTTTCTTTATGACGCCCTTTGAAGACACAAATTAAAGCTTTCCTTACCTTGAGT